TGCTGATGTCTTGATTTTAGCCCAGGGAGACCCATGTTGGACCACTGATCTAATCAACAATTTCAATAAATTATTTTCAATACTCATCTTAACAGGACCTTTTTGTTGCAACATTGTTGAACACTCCCTTCTTGAAGATTTCCTTTTTCTTAGCTCAAGATACCAATCTTTCCTGGTTCCTTGCTTTCTGGATTACTCCTTTCTAGCTTGCTTCCCTGAGTTTTCTTATTTTGCTCAGTACTTCATTTTATTTCCTTTTTGGCTAAGGACTAAATATAATCCCAATAGTATCATCACTGTCTCTAATCAATAATGCCTAGTCAAATATCCAGTCAGTTGCCTCATGTCTTATAAGGTCCACATATTCACATGATCAATTACACATCTTTTATGTTTCTTTTAATCTCTAAATCCCTCTTCCATAGCCCCTCCCTACTCCCTTACAATTATTTTGTTTTAGAAACTAGATTGTCTTGCAGTTTCCCACAGATTGGATTTTAGTAATGGCATTCCCATGGTATAGTTTAACATGTTCCTCTATTCTCTATTTTCTATAATTGGTAGTTAGATCTATGCCAGCTCTTAAATACTGGTTCTTCCTAAGGATTTGTATTTTTCCTACTTCCGTTCATACCTATAAGTTTCCATATTTTTCTTTCTTGATTCTAGCCCAGAGAGACCCACTGATCTACAAACCTGTAGTACTATACATTCATATTGTTTTAAGCAACAAAGTTTACGGTACTGTGTTACAGCAGCAACAGAAATTGCTATACTTCTGAACACTAAAGCCATATTTTTAACTATATATATTAGATTATTCACTGTGGTTGTCCCACAAAGACCTCAAATTCAACATGCCACATAATTAATATATCAATCTCCTCTCCAACGAAAACTTACTTATGCTCCATTCATGCAAGCCAGAACATTTGTCCCATTCACACCTAATATGTAAACCCTTTAGGTTCAAACTCCTCTGTTTTCCCAAATGCTTCCCCATTCTCTAACATCTGATCTACTACAATACTTCCTAATTGGTTTTCCTATTTTCAGAGCTCTCAGGGCTATCCTTTACTGCAGAAGTTGATAAACTTTTTCTGTGAAGATCCAGATTGTAAATATTTTATTTAGGCTTTGCAGGCAATACCGTCTCTGCTATAACTAATCAAGTCTAGTCATAGTATGAAAGCAGCTGTAGACAAAATGTAAATGAATGGGGTGTGGCTGTGTTCCAATAAAACTTTATTTCCAAAAATATTTGGCCTGTGGTCATAGTTTGCTGATCCCTGCTCTACACTGAAGTCAACACAGTATTTTTGAAAGGTAAATCAAATTATTTTACTCCCCTACTCAATCTGTGAGATCTCAGTTCAGCCTTCCTAATATAGTAAAGTTCTTCATGATCTGGCCCTTGACACCTTCTAGCTTCAGAAAAAGTTCTTATGCTAAGGGAAATAAGTCAGATAGAGGAAGACAAATACTCTATGATATCACTTACATGTGGAATCAAAAAAATAGAACTAGTGAATGTAACAAAAAAGAAACAGATTCACAGATATAGGAGAACAAACTAGTGGTTACCAGTGGGAAGAGGGAAGGGGGGAGGGGCAATATAGGGATAGAGGATTAAGAGGTATAAAATATTATGTATAAAATAAGCTATAAGGATATATGGTACAACACAGGGAATATAGCCAATATTTTATGACTATAAATGGAGAATAACCTTTAAAAATTATGAATCACTATGTTATATACCTGTAACACATAAATACTGTACATCAACTATGCATCCATAAAAAATTTTTTTTTAAAGATAATTCTTCTTCATATGGGAAGGGTCAACTATTCTACCTCCAATTTTCTATATTCTCACCTTCATCCTTAAGCATATCAATCACATCCTCTATCAGGCTCACCACTTCTTTGCTGTTCTTTGGATGTTGTAAATTCACCCAAGTCCTGACTTCTTCAGGGAGAATTGTCAGGAATTGTTCCAATACCAATAGCTCTAGGATCTGCTTCTTTGTATGAATTTCTGGTCTCAGCCACTGAAGACAGAGCTCCCAGAGTTGGCTCAGGGCTTCATGAGGCCCAGACACTTCCAAATACTGGAAATGTCTGAACTTTAGACGAGAGGCTTCACAGTCATCTGTCTCCACGACTGGGATGGATTCTGGCTGCCAAGACACATCTGCTCTCAGGACCTCACTTTGTTCGTGAGGAGCCAGGTTTTGAGGTTTTGAGATAGCCGTCAACTGGTTTAAAGGCTGCATCTTCCTACACAGAGCTCCCACTGCAGTTCAAATTTGCCTTATCAGAGGATTCCAATAATTCTCATGCTTGGGCTAAGCACTTGCGTACTATATACATATATATGCAGTGAGAAAAGTTTCAGGAGCTTCAGACGCAGAGCCAATATTCAGGCACCCAAGAGACTGAAAAAAAAGACATAAATATGACCTACAGATAATGAACATGGATAGGTCAAAAAGTACACTCCCAGACTATAACAATCAAAAGTTTCAATTTTTCAGGATTTTCTAAAAGCCAGTCTGCAATACCCATCAATAAGGGAGGTCTTAGGCTCAACAAAACATTTAAACGTTGCAGGACTACCACAGGTCATATTTGGCACTTAGGTTACTAAGAAGGCTATTGGACAGAAAACAAAGCTTGCTAACAGAGGAGTGAGTAACTGGAATTTTTCTTCAGTGGCAGTTCTCACAGAGTATAGCTCAAGTGCAAGGAGATGTGGACCATGTAGGTTGGGCAGAAAGCATCTTGACTGAAAAGCCTTCTACAGGAGCTGATATCTAACAACTCTACAAGTGCAGCTCTCAGGGTTCCCCAAAGAGCGTGCCAGATTATGAGTCACTACGTTCAGGGGAGTTCAGATCCAGTTTTCTATCTGATTTACAGTTCTCCCAGTCCAGATGCAATTTACCATTCAGAAGTCATTTTTATTATAAGCCTCTAGGCCAGTGGTTCTTTTTCCATAGCATTGTGCTTGTACAGTTACAATATCGTTTCAAATTTCTCTGAAGATTCTAATTTGAGTTTTCTGTTTCCTAAATTCCCTTTGATTCTGTGGTCAGGTTTTCTATTTATCTTGGTTTTTAGACATCTGGTATTCCCTAGTTTTCTGCTCATATTTAAGAATCAAGTGTTACATTGATTATTCCAGATCATCATATGAATTTCTACTTCTTCTGTATCAGTAGATTGGTTTCCTAATGGGTGTCTATCCTGAATGGGAGACTTACCAAGAGCCATGTGAATATCAGTGAGACACACACATTGGCAGACTTTGATTTAGGGTGAGTGGAGGAGCAGGCTGTCAAGTTGTGGGCTCCCCACACCACAAAGTGAAAAGGTTTTACTATGAAATGTCAACACCTAACCTAAAAGCCTTCCTTCTCCTCAGATGGTTTATTCAATTTATTTAGGGAAGAACTTTTTGTGGGAGGAAGGCACTGGAGCTAAACTGCTTCTCTATGTAGGTGGGAAGAGGGCTGGGAGGTTGGGGAGATGACTGGAATAGATGTTTCACATGTAACCCTTCACTCGATTCCTATGTTCTATTTAACTCTCACTGCCATACTCTGTTGAAACAGCTTAAGATTCTCATAGGCAGATGGGTTTCCACCTCCACTGTGGTCACCTCCTAGCATATTCTAAGTTGTGACCTTTTCTACACTGCTTCTGTAAACTATATTTTCACTTTCTGTCTTGTAGAAATGTATTGATGCCATCTATATACTCATTAGTATCCCCATTACATGGGGACACAGGGCAAAGTGGAACAACTGAGGGAACATTCTGAGATCCAACACAAACCTTCTCCAAAACTTAAGGAAAGTACACGTTCATTACCAAAAAAAAAAAAAAAGGAAAGTTCCGAATTGCTTAAGAGGTATCACTCACTGAGATCCAGCAGAACAGTGAACTATGGGCCCAGAAACTTTCAGAATTAACATACAGGGAGAAAGAAGAAAAAAAAGTTCACAGATCACATATTAAAAACAAAACAAAAAACCAAGTAAGCATTCAAAAAAAAAAAGCAGATTTAACAACAAGAATATCCATTGCAACAATAAATGCACTGGGTAAAAATTTAAACTCAACTATGTAAAAAATTAAGAGACATCCAAAACAAAAGAACTCCAAAGCTTAAAGGGATGATAGAAAAAATAACAAACAAATGTAAACAACAATAATATGCAGGGATATACCGAATTAAGATGTATATTGAATTAAAAGCACAAATGAATAAAATGAGACAAAGAGGGAACTTTAAATGATTGAAGGTACAACTCATAATGAAATATGACTGCTACTAAGTGTATCAAATAACACAATGAAATATATTTATAGCAAAACCCTCAGAAAACAAGAGATGCAAGCAACAATACCACCACAGAAATGGGAGACTAAGGCAACTTTCTCAGTCCTTAACAAGTAAGGTAAAATTGATAGTATAGAGGACATGAATAACATGCTTAGCCTGATATATAAAACCAGATAGAATGCAGTTTCTATTCAAGCACTTATGAGAATGCTTACAAAAGCTGCTATTTATTAAGCTACCAAAAAACTCAATAAATAAAAAGTAAATAAAAGTGGTACAAACCACATTTATTACCAGAATGAAAACTAGATCTTAACATCAAGTAGAAATAAAAAAAAATCTCAACTACTTTGAAATTTAACTTTTGCTTCTAGAAAACAACTCAAATTAAAAACACTAAAAACTGCACTTCAAAATCTAACAGCTCAAGTTCTACTGTTAGGCAATAGCAAAGCCTTATATATATAATTAAACAAGAATGAGTTGAATTAAATGTTCAACTCAAAGTGAGAAAAGGCAACAAAATATACTAGGAGTTTATAGGTTAAAAATTAATAAATTACTCAGTATAAATAACTATAGAGCTAGGAGGACAGGTTAGAGATGTTCAGGATGATATGCTAGCACTTAAGATTTCGAAGGAGGAACAGTCTGGATGATAAATGGTCCAAGGTATGACTGTGACTGAGAATAGCTTAAGTGGTCTGTAAGTGACCACCAATGGAATAAACAAAGTCAAGAACTGTTAAAGTTTAAACTCTAAAGTACTAAACAGACACCTTTAAGGATGATGGTAGAACTCAGAATGAAGATTTAAGACGCTGAGCCAATACCAAAGGAAGGAAGGGCTCAGTAAGGCACAGGTGGCAGGAATCTGGAGAGTTAGATCAAATAACCAGCTGACACAAGTTCATAGGATTTTACAGCGTCAAGGAACTTGAACAGGCACTAATTATGGGGAAAAGGCAGTATCTGTGAAAAAGGGTTATTTTAATCAAATAGGTCATAGGCAGAGCAGTAACCTGAGGTAAGGAGAATCTTTCGCCTTCCGAGATTAGCTTGTAAAAAGTAGCATAGAGCAGTGTGCAAATGAGCATCCGAAATAAAGAGGTTTTAGGGAGTGGCCAGGAATGAGTGGGACAGCACGGCAAGTTGGAATGAACTTTTCTCCATTTTCTTTTCCAGTCTATTGATCCAGTCACACTGGATCGGGAATCCATATCAGTCATTCCAAAACCAGCTGAGCAAGATATATTTACCAGATTAAACGCCTGGAGACTGCCCCCATCACAGAATGGAAGAGGAGACAGCAGACCTGGATCTGGAACCTAACCGTCCTGTTTCCCACCCCAGCCCTCTTTACCTCTCCTCTCTCACGCACTAACTTCCCACCACAGCCCACGCCTCCATCCCTGTCAGCTCGCGCCCTCCTCCAGCTTCTCCCGCAGAGACTGCAGAGCACAGAGTTGGAATCCAGGTAACAGCGAACAAGCTGAGGAGACCGCGTGGACGCCCTCAAGCAGGATTCCCAATTCCACGCACCCGCGTCCTCACCGCCCGCTGACCCGCGTGATACCTGCGAACACCGCTCCCAGCCAGGGCTGGGTTCTGTCACACCCAGGAGCCAGTTCAGAGGAGCCGCAGAAGTCGCCCTCCCAGCCTGGGGAGGGAGCTTGCGTTAGTAATCACGCCTCAACTAAGCAGCGCGGGCCACACCTGTCCCTTACACGCCAGCGCCGGCTCAATATCTACTGAATACCAAGACGCAGGCCGGCGCACTCCCGCGCACGCGCACCATCCGTGGAAGCCCCCAGAAGCCCCCGCGGCCCAAGTTTGTAAAGTAGACGGGGTGGGGCTTCTGCCCATCCCGCCCCTTTCCCAGGCCCCGCCCGCTTCATAGACGTGAGTCCAACCCTAGGGCCAGGAACCAAGGGCGACGCTTAGGGTAGGTGGGAAAAGGCCTTGTCAAATTTCTGTGGCTTTCTCCATCCCCATCTAGGAGAACTGGCCAAAATTTTTTTACTTTCTCACCTTCACCCACCCTCCTCCCCCATTTTCTTGGAATCAAAAAACAGTGAAGTAATTTTGAAAAGATATGGTCTTGTATATAACATGGTTTAACATGGTTTTTACTGACTTACTGATTCGCTCATTCACTATTTATTCAATTTTGCATCGCGGTAGAAAATCTTGCAAAAGATCATGAGTCCAGTTTTGGCTTGTTACACATGAGATACTTTGTGACATCCAAGAAGCATTGTCAAATTGGACGTAAGTGAGAGCTTAGAGGTGTATGGGGCCAGACTTGTAAAATTTGTGTCAGTAATGCGTAGATAGTACTCGATACTATGGGGAGGGGCGCAGAGAATGAGGCTGCAGAGAGAAGGAGAGAAAACAGTAGAAGGAGGAGGAGTCTAGGACTGAGCCCCAGAGGAAGAACTCAAACTAGTAAATCAGGGACTGTCTCCCAGGAAGGGAGCTTTAAATCTAGATCAAACAAGATAGGAACCAGATTTTTGTTTGTTTTAACCAAACTCTTCTGTACTCATTACTATCATAAGCAAATTATAAATGTCATCTCACTCATCACCACAACACTATAAGGAAGAGATTATCATCCCCAAAGTTATGGAAACTAAAAGATAGCGAAGCTGAGCTTCAAGCTCAGATCTCTTCGTACTTGTCCCACTGCTACTCACTCAACGCTTCAAGATTTAGAGGGTCATTAGTAAGATGTGCCAGAATTGTGGAATGATATTTTCCAAGATTACGAGTATGGTGTGTGCCATGAATTGTTTGTGATGGGGTTGACCTTTATAAAAGTCAGTTAATAGCTAGGCAAAATAAAAATTTTAACTTGTGAGTATTGCCAGTAAACAGGCTCAAACATAGTCTTTAGCTAATTAAGATTTCAGGGAAATGGAAAGGGTGCCAAGTATGAAGCGGAATGACCAGCCTTCCTCTCATACCTTATAGATATGAGGTTTCTGACCATGTGTCTTCAAAGGCCCACAGAGGCCTAGATACTGCTTTCTAATTGAAGAAGAGTCACTTTCAGTTTGCAGTCACCTCACTAAAGTCCAGCTTTTTTTTAAGGGCACAATTTTAAAGGTTTCTCTGAATATATGACTTTCATTGTAAAGCCATCTGGGATTAGATCCTTAAGATGCATAGACTTGTTTGCTACAAACTCCGTTCTCTTCTATCATTGTGAAATCCAGATCTTCTCTGTATTTAAGAAAAAAATATAGAGAAAACTTGACCTGAGTTAAGCCAACACTTTTCCTAGACCACTTATATATTCATTCAGCCAATTTTTATTGAGAATTTAATATGTGGCAAATACTGTACTAGCAATTGAAAATATATTAGTAAACGCAATCAAATGAAGACTATCTTAACGACCAATGGAAGCATTCCATATGCTAAGCTATTGTATTTCTTCACCCAATGTTCTGTGTTCTGCACATCCTCAGAATATTGTGTTGTGTAGATTGTGAGTTGCATTGGTCAGTCTGGAATTTGTAGATAGTCAAGATATGAATAGGGGTGATTTGGTTTCATGGGCCATGTGTTATGGACATTTGTCAGTTTTGGGCTTCTGATCCTTTGAATACACTGTCTAAAATTATAATCTTCTGTTGAGTCTTGTGAGGGAGTTGGAGCCTGTCCCCATCCATGGAAACTGAATACATCTAATATTAACTTCCTTTGTCTGCACTGCAGCTAGGACTCGATCAATTAGATATACCCAGTCTAGACTTTGAATTAGAGCCAGTGACATGAAAAAGCAAGGACATCAAAAAGTTTCTTTTTAAAAAACAGACTTTATTTTTTAGGTCAGTTTTAGATGTACAGAAAAATTGAGAAGATATAGTACATTGACTTCTGATATACACCCCCTTTTCCCACTATCGACTTACATTGCTATTATTATTATTTACATTATTGTGGCACATCTGCTGCAATTAAGAAAATAAGATTAATACCTTATTATTAACTAAACTTTATACTTTGTTTGAATTTGCTTAGGTTTTGTCTCCTTAGGCTCCTCCTGGCTGTGACAGTTTTTGAGACTTGTTTTTGATGACCTTTACGGTTTTGAGGAGTACAGGTTGTATATTTTATAGGAAGCCCATGTATGAGAATTTGTCTGTTTTTCTCAGGTTAGGGGTTTGAGGGATCTTCCGATCATAAAGTGCTATTTCCATCACATCATCTCAAGAGAACGTACTAACAACAGGACCTAACACTATTTATGTTAACCTTGGTCACCTGGCTGAGGTAGTGTTAGCAATTTCTTCTCTTTTTTTGTCAGCGGTAGAGAGAGCAGCAACATTCCAATTTCCAGGTTCAGGGAATTAGCAGCTCCAGCAGCAGGGCCTGTGCTGAGGGTGTTGGCAGTGTAAACTGCGCCACCTAGTGCTGAATGGCCATGATGTCCTCAGCTGACATTGTGTTAATGAATTTGTGTTAATGAATTTGGCCCGTGATTCTGGCTGCAGAATCGGAATTACTATTATTCAGTATTTTTCCTTTTAGCTTAAATCATGCATAGTCAGTTTCTGTTACTTGCAACTACAAACCCTGACTGATACATCATCTTTATTATGATTCTTTAGAAGCTTCTTGGCCCTTTATTCCCCCTCTCCCTCCATAGCAGGAGAGGCAGTAGGTTTTTTTTGTTTGTTTTGGTTTGTTTGTTGTTGTTTTTTTGCGGTACGCGGGCCTCTTACTGCTGTGGCCTCTCCCGTTGCGGAGCACAGGCTCCGGACGCGCAGGCTCAGCGGCCATGGCTCACGGGCCCAGCCGCTCCGCAGCACGTGGGATCCTCCCGGACCGGCACATGAACCCGCGTCCCCTGCATCGGCAGGCGGACTCTCAACCACTGCACCACCAGGGAAGCCCCTTCGATTTCAATTTTTTTAAACTTATTTTATTGAAGCATGGTTGATATAGAATGTTGTGTTGATTTCTGCTGTATAGCAAAGTGATTAAGTTATTTATATACATATATTCTTTTTCATATTCTTTTCCATTATGGTTTATCACAGGATATTGAATATAGTTCCCTGTGCTATATAGTAGGACCTTGTTTATCCATTCAATAGTTTTCATCTGCTATTTCCAAACTCCCAATCCATTCCCTCCACCCCCCTCATTTTATTTTTTGTATCTACTGTATTTTTAAGTGAATAAATGTTATATTATAAAGAGTAAAAAAAAAAAAAGAGTGAAGCAGCTGTCAGTCTGTTTATTTGGACTAAGAGTTTATGAGAACCTAAAGTGGACTCTAGAATTGACCATTCTAGACAAGTTGAGCCACAGTGAAATGTGGTTAGAGGCATCTAAGCTTAAGGGGTCAGTCTAGGGATGGTAAACTCCAATTTCTAAAATTCTAATTCATTTTGCTTTCAGAAGAGATATTCATTGGGTTAATTGCGTTCATACAGAGGAAGATGACCTGAATGAATATTGGATACCAAAGGCATGTTAGATAAAGGAATTTTAAAGGAACAAGTGTGTGGTTGGCTGTGAAAATTGAATTTGGGCAAATATAGAAACTGACTTCAGTGAGTTGTGGTATAGAAGGATAATGAAAATTATTCTAGGAGTAAAACTAGGGAAAGTGGGTTGAAGATATAGGAAAATTGATTTTGACTTACCATAAGGAAGATCTTTCTAACAGTAAGAAAACTATCTACCTATGAAAGGGAATGATCCTAGAACGTAGAGCACTAGCTATACCATTCTTGTTTATGCAAATGCTGGACAATTACTCAATGGCAATATTATGGAGTGGTTTAATCCTCAGATATATGTTTGCATTAGATGACTGTTGAATTCACTTTTTACTCTGATAGTCTGTGTTTATATGGACTTTGGGGTGATGATATAAAAACTCATTTTCTGGAGCTTTCAGGAGAGAACATCATGAACTAGGAAGTTGTGTGGCCTCTGGTACCTTTTTACAAGCTGAAATGCTTTGGGCCGTGAATGAGACCAGTATTAAATACATTGATGGTTTTGATTAGACTATTCCTGGTTTTGTACGACTGGGACATCCAAACTTGAAATGTCTTTAATGTTAGAATCAGGTATGTGATTCATATTAGACATTATCTCTGGATAATCCAGTTTAAGTCTCTTAAATTCAAGGGTGATCAAGCTTAAAACATGTCCACATTAGCTGAATTTACCAAAAACTCCTTCAAATTATCATTTAGTGCTTTTCATAATCAAGAAATAACCTAACTTTTCATCCTTTTATTTCTTCCCTGTGTTTAGGGTGGTGTATTCACAGTTTCTGGAATATGTTCCTTACTTTTATGCTTCTTCCTGAAATGACCTAACTTGTAACTGTCGACTGAAATCCTGCTCCTCTTTTAAGGATGTTACTCAAAAAGTCAGACCTAGAGGTCACCGTCTCTGAGAAAAGGACTTTCTTCCAGCCAGTTTCCTGAGAGTTCCTTTGACATCCTGGTTTCTCAGGCTATAAATTATGGGGTTCAACATTGGAGTCACCACTGTATAGAACACAGATATCATTTTATCCCATTCTTCTGTGGTCTTGGAATTTGGCCACATGTAGGTAAATATTCCTGATCCATAAAAGAGGACAACAACAATGAGATGGGAGCCACAGGTAGAGAAAGCCTTGAGCCTCCCCTCCCCAGACTGCATCTGGATCACAGTGGAGATGATATTCCAGTAGGAGACAAGGATCAGGGAGACAGGAGCTAAGAGGATGACCATACCCATTGCAAAGATGGCCATTTCTGTGCTGTAAGTCTCTGCTGAAGCCAGCTTC